CAGGAACAATAAGAACAAACCAGAAACCACTATTCTCCATCTGGATGTCTTCTCGTCTGGTCATTGGGTAAGAATGACAAAGGATCTGAAACGGCCCTGGTAGTAGATCTATATTATTAAGCTGACATTCAGCCCAGATGGACGGGCCCCGTCTTTAGACTGTGGGGGTTAGTGGAGCATTTTGCAGCAGGCATTTTGCAGCAGTCTCTCCTGTTGGGCTTCTCTATAGTGCTCTCGCACAGCCTCATCTGGCCCTTGTTAGTGCCCAGACAGGAGGCTCCATTACCTGTTTACCTGTGGACACACTCGGGGCCTCACATGGACCAGTTTCAACACACTCCCAGATCCATGCGTCACTAGGACTTTGTGGATTTTGCTAAAATTATACCAATGGTTATATATTGGTGTTCATTGTTATATACAGTAAATATTGTAACATTACGACAATTATAACACGTGCCATTTAGTAGCATACTTGACACACGTTTGTCAAATGGGTGGCGATAATTGAAGATTGTTCCTGTTGCTTCGGAGAAGCATTAGAAATGAGGCTTTATAGGACTTGATTGTCTCACAGGAAGACAGAATTCCTGACTTCAGCCTTTGGTTTATTAGTAAAGGGTGTTTGAGGTCTAGCAGACCACGGATCCGCGACGCTGCACGCTGAGGACACTCGTGTCACCCTGGAAGTGAGAGGAGCGGAAGTCTCTGCAAGTCATCAGCCTGGCCGCCGGAGCCTGGAGAGACAGCTGTGAAGGGCTTTTACTGCCACGGAGAGGATATTGCACAAACGCACCATGTGTGAAACCAGCGCACACATAAACAAGCTTCGTAAACGACCAGATCTCAGCACCGGAGGTGTCTTTGTCCACGACCAGGACTATGACGTGACCTAGTCGAAGTGGCTCGCAGAAAAAGCAACACTGTCACAGTTCCAGAACACAAAATGGCCGCTTTTACTCTCCTTTTTTAAGAGCATGTTCACCCCAAATGCATTACAGCTTAGACACAAGTAGTCTTTCTACTTTTTACAATAACAAGCAAGTAAGTCATTTAGCGAAATATTTGCCGCTACATCCTTCTTTGATTGATGGTCAAGGAAAATCCCCCTGTTCCACCGAGACCAGACGGCTGGATAATAGTTTTACCTTGATGTCTGTTGTGCATATTAATAAATCATTTAACAGTGAGAGGTTATAGGCTTTTCCTGTGAGGAAACAGATATGATGATCTACAGTCACAGCTAGACGGAATAGGACAGCAATCCTGCCTCGTTCCAATGTATATGTGTTTGTTCAGCAAGATATTTTTAGCCTATCACTTCCTGTGCTCTTAAAAATCTGGGGATAAGAACACTCTTCTGAGCCAATCGCAAATCTGAACAGTATACAAAACAAAAAAATGTTTTAATAGAATATTAATAGCACCACAATCTTTGTTATGTACATAAATGCTGGCTGCCTGCTTCCATAACTGCTTCCACAACATGTCGACCCCGCTGACCTACTGGACAAGCCTACGCCAACATTGTAACTGAACGAGCCTGTCACAATGGCTACCACATATCAAAATCCGGTTTATTTTAGACCCAAGACAGTCACTGCTTTTTTCGTGGTTTGTTTACAGACAGTTTCTGATTTTCCTGAACGATCAAGCAGATTGGAACAGAAAACAGCCGGCGCCCCGGTAGGGGAATGTGATTTGTGATTCCGGCGCTGTGATAAACATTGAGGTGCTAATCCCTAGTGAAAGAATTGATTGAGAGATGGTGAGAGACAGCAACGCGGAAACAAACAGAATGACAGAAATGTAGGAGAGGAAGAAGAAGGTAGAGGAAGCAATAGAGACTCCTTCCTGACCTACGTTAACCGGGACAGCCATCTCCCCAGTGCTCTATAAAAACATGTCCAACACGATACGCAGCAGAATGACTTCATTATTTTGCCTTATTCCGTCAACCCTGACCTCAAGGTATCAAGTTACAGGTGACAAAATAACGATTTTCATTCTAATCCGTTATTAACCCTAAAGAAAACAGGGCTTTAAGATAAAGAGAGTTGGATTGCTTCTCCTTGTGTCAATCGCATTCGCGGAGACAAACAGCTAGCGATGCGTCATTAGCCACCGTGAGACGCCTCCACTGTTGTGTCAGCCCTGATTTTATCACGTTGACCTAACACTCAACACCGTCGCAGACTCAGGGAATGCCGCTGGCCACGCCCAACAAGGGCTTTCTGTGTGTGTGTGTGTGTGTATATGTGTGTATTTCTGACAGTGTAGGTTTCCACTGACGTTGATATAAATACAGATAAAAACTTCATGTTTTGAACCAAACCAAGTTCACGTCTGGTGTCACTGTTGTCGACCCGCACAGGAAATGGCTGTCCTCGGCTTGGGCTTGTACGTTACAAGCTTGTGTCAATAAAAACAAATCTCTCACCCAGATAGCGAGGCTACAAAGCACATAGAAACATCCTCTAAACAAGTGTATTCATATATTTATTTACCTTGTTGCCTTAGCGGTTATATAGACAATGAAACAACAATAAAAAGGTATGAGCACTCCAAATGAGTAGGAGCGCTACTCACATTAGCGCCAGCGGCAGTAATTCAAGCCAATTATTTTCCAATGGCCTCGCTAACACCGCGGCTAAGCCGGCTGAAGAGAAGAGGGTCATTATTAGCTGGTGTAGCTGGGAAGTCCTAGTATTGTGACGGGTCAACCTGAAACAGAGGTCCACTGTAGACGGGCCATGCCCTCCGGGAGAAAGGCTATTCCGACCCTCGGGTGAAATTGGAAGCAGTGTGCGGGGGTATGTCGTAATCTTACTTCAGAGTGGATGAGTGGAAAAGAAGGGCGGGGGGGGACACTGGGGAGAGTTCCCCGACCAGGGAACTAGGGGAATGGGCAACAGGGCTGTCACGTGTGGTCCCTCAAGGCCCGGAGCAGATGGCCCTGAGATTAACATGTGAATGAACGGTGACTGGGGGGTCTTGGAGAGAGGCACTGGTAGTGGTTCCCCCCGTTCAATGCCCCAGGGTTCAATAGACAGTTACACTCCAATCCTGTCCCAACCTTCTGCCTATCAATTAGGTAATGACGGTTCCGGATCTATGCGTACCGTATCGCTCTTAAGACTATACAAATAAACGTGGAGTTCAGCTACAACACCGAACAGATATCGGAGCAGGTTACATTTCCGATAACAATCAAAACCTAGCTTCGCCTCAGCCGAAAAACACGTCAGCACGTTTGCCTCAAAAAGATGTTCCACGAGTGTCTCAGCGAGCACCGTGCAAACCTGTGACACAACTTCGGAAGAACAACCGGTATGTGCTCTATCCATATCCTCTGCCAACGCCTACCTCGGGAGATGGGTATCTAACCTAGCTAGCTAGCTACTGGCTAGATATGATACGGAGCCTGATAACGAAATGATTACATCAGGCGACATGCCGGCAGAAGCCTATGCAGCTTTGAAGCCTACTCTGTCCCTGCACAAACTATGAAACATCACACGAAAGATAGAGGCCCGGCTTGGGTGTGGCAGATCAAAACGGCCAGGGTTGTGACAAAATCAAACAACGTCACTGCCAACAGAAGCAACAGAACAATCTGCCCAACTGAGAAGATACCGATCGACTTGACATTTAGCATAGGTCACTGAAGCCTTCAGAATCGTGATGTTTTTTTTTGCAGTTACGAGATTACAGAGGAAGTGACTTCGTGCACATGGTGGATAAAAACACAGTGGCCATGGAATAAAAAGCTGTGTCATTGTATGTATCTGACTGCACAGCACCGCGGGCTCTAAATGAGCTTCTGTCCCGACGATTCAGCCAATGGAAAAGCGGATGGCGGTTTGGCTGTTCCAGCGGGGCTGTCCTCATTATTGGCCATCTCTCTTGTTCAGAAACACTTCAAAAGAATTCGGGAAGCCTCGGAATCCTGTTCAATAGACCAGAACAGCACTGAAAGTCCTGATAGAAATGTCTCGTTTTGAACAAGAATAACTGATGTAGGATAATGGGATAATGCCACATCTATTCATGGTGTTTCTGTATAACACTCTATGTCACTGAATGCTCACCAGGAAATCATGCTGAGTTATACAGATGGAGCCCAGACACACCAATGACAACCTGAAAGGGTACAAGGAGGACATCCCAACACACACACACACACACACATATTATCTACACTTTCTCACATTTGAGGATAACACACAACATTAAAAACACAGCAGTA